AAAAAAAAAAAAAAAAAAAAAAAACAAATAAAACTGTCACTCAGCAAATTGCTATTTATTGGGAAATTGTTTCTGTGACATAAAGGAAATTATTAAAGAAAAATTTAATTAATATCTTGCTATGGATTTTATATCTAGATATTTTGTGGACCGGAACACATTAATCTGTGCTTGAAATTTCACCGTAGCTAAAAACGTCAACTGAGGAATTAAAAATCAAAATAACACATTTTCGATTTGAAATAGAAGTGAAATATTGCATGGGTATATTTGATTTCGAATTTGATATTACGAACTTTTTTGAAATGAATGAAAATTTCAACATTTATTTCTCTTCATTCATGAAAATCTTTTTTTTTTAAATTAATTTTTTTGAGGATTTGAAACCTTCAAGTAAGAAGGAAAAGACTTTGGAGTGAAAGGAAAAATTGAAATATAATTAGTAAAGCAGTTAGCCAATTTCAAAAATTCCTTCCTGTGATAGATCAAGAGTTTAACGGAATTTGCGTATGCCACATTACTTTAATATTTCCCTTTATAGAATAAAAAAATGCGACAAAATTTCAAAAAATTGTATGATTGATATGAAAGGAAAAAGTAAACATTTTGACAAAAGTTGGTAACTGGAAAAGTTCAGAATATATTGTAAATTTTTTTAAAAAGAATGATCTGAAGGGAATCAAAACCCCAAATAAACTTTATCATACTTATCTCGGAGCTAAATTAACCAAACCAAAGATAGACAAAGCAGCAACAGATGGAATATTGAAAATATATCATTTAATAGAAATAATTGATCAGTGAACAAAAAAAAGCATTTATTGGTATAGTTTGAAAAAATATTTTGCTTGTCAAAATGTTACTAGATTAATTTTGACGGCTGCTACATGCTTATACATTATTTATCTATCATTACATCCTTCCCTAAAATCATTTTCTGTTAAAAATACCGAGTTTTGAGCAAAAAGTATTGCACATTTTCTAAGTACTACGAATAGCAACTTTGTATTCACAATTAGGCAAAGTTTTATATCTAATTTCGTCTTAAATAGAAATTGAAAAATTTGCTTTACAAATATGAACACTGTTATTTGCAATAATTTTCAATGAAGGAAACTTTAAAAGTAATTACATTATTCTTCTTCAAATTTTACCAATTAAATGGTAGCTTTCTTTTTTCTAAATTTTGATATCGTCATATATTTGTTATATTGATGAAACAAGGCAAAATTATTGTTTTTGCATCAATAAATTCGTTATATTAAACTAAGATTAGCAGTGACAAAGTTTATTTTATGCAAAAAATGCATGCCTGAAGCAAATGATTTGAAACTTTCAGAAATTTTAAAATATCATTTATACACAATGAATTAATCCTTAATGCAAGCTTTTTAAAGTATGCAAAATGAGCTTATTAACTATTGCAATATTCCGGTTGGAAAGATTCTAGTAGTTTCAGGGAGTTCCTGAGAGAAGCGGACAACATTGTAAGAGAATCGACAAGAGGCCAAATACTGTATGTGTTACCAATACGTTTTGCTCGGCGACGCAGCAAAATTCGAATTCGTGCTTTTGATAATATTAATAATGTAGGTACCTCCTGTAAAGTGTGCTGTGAGTTTAAATAATTTTTTTTTCAGTTTTGCTTCAGTAATTAATACAAATTTTTTTCTGAGTAATTGACATAGCTATGCTTTCATAACAATAAGATTGATTCGCAAATTTCTTACTGATAAGGATAATGGCATCTCTTAATTTTATTTTTTAAGCATTTGTCTCCTTGAAAGAGTGTTAATGATTCAAAAAAATTAACAAAAAAATTCTTGCACAAACCAGACGAGTTTTCTTAATGATAATGGACAAGCCATCACTTTGACTTATCATCCATGCTCGTTGTTCTAATTTTGATTGCATCAAACACCGTATCCTATTAGATCTGATCTCCTTTCAATAAATTATATATTATCTGTGATTTAAAGATACGCAGATTATATGCATCTTGTATTGTATATTTTATATATAATAAAATATACAATAAAGATACATTTATCAAATCACTTTTATTACATTAGGTTCTGTTTTTCTTATTCATCATTAAGTGATTTTTACTTATAATATATGAATTTATTATTAGCTTTCTTTTTTCTTGTTCTTTGTGAAAAAAACGAAAGAAGTTTTGAATGAAATAATTAGAAAGACGGTCTAAGCATTTAATATCCAAACCGTTCTTTCAAATGCTTGCTAATTGGCGAACCATCTTCAATAAGGCTTTCAATCGTGCTTTTAGAACAATTTGCCTCAGCAAAATCAAGTGGAAAACGCCGTTTGAAATCTACAGCATTTAGATTAGCTCCATGGGCAATAAGTAATAATGCAATTTGTTCGCGACCTAAATAAATGATTTGAAAACTGTTTCGAAAACTAATAATAATTTCTATACTTATAATTTGTTAGTCGAATCAACCATTTTTGAAACTATTAGAAGAAAGAAAGTTTTAACCATTGATATTTCGGCATGCCAGATGCAAAGGCGTTTGTCCCATACAATCTGGAATATCCAAGTTTGCTCCATATTCAATTAATAAGTGACAAATATTGAAACAACCTTCTTTAGTTGCAGTATACAATGGCGTTCGATTATCCGAAACCGTCACATTTGGGTCTGCTCCAAACATCTTCAAGAGTTATTATATAAAGTTTAAATGATTTAAAACTTTGAAATATACATAATCTTTATTCAAAATTTAGTTGATTCATTCATTATCTTTTTGAATAATTAAATCTGCTAGAACTAAAAGTAAAATATTTACAATTTAAAAGTTTGCACAGATTCAGTTTTGTAGATATTTAAAAAAATTGTCCACCAATTTTGTTTGATGCAAATAACTTGTATCCTCAAGTGAAGTAATTAAATTACTTATCACGTATCATATTTATGCAGTTTTCTATAATGTGCATTAATACAGGTTACTAGCGTAATTATCAGTATTCTAGAATGTGCACTCAAATGAGCGATCATATGCTTCGAACGAAGCTTAAAAAATGCAACCTTTAGCGAAATTTCAATTTTTTAAAAACTCTAGATGTGATATGCAAGTGAGTATAAAATTTCATTACACCTTGCATTTGATTTTTTATTTATTGCATAACTCAATATTGTTAACTGTTTGCTTTATTTTGATGTTAATTTCTTGAAGAAAAGAAATAGTAACTGAATGAATTTCAAATAAGCACTAAAATTTTGATTATCATATTAAGACAGTTATAACAGCAATTTTTTATGGTTAATATCAATATGAATAAAATTTTGCTTTGAAAAAGCTAACGAGGAGTAGCTCGACAATGTTGTAATTGTGAAGGCGAACAGCCGTGTAAAGAGGCGTTTCAAGGCGACCGCTTTCGTCAGGTGATAGTTTGTTTAACTCACAGTTATGATGTAATAATATACGGACGATAGTTTCATTTTGATTTCGAACCGCTAACAGAAGAGCTGAAGTTCGCATTAAATTCGAATTTATATTTAAATTTCGATGTCGACGCAAAGTAAACAATACCTGAAATATTGAAAAAGATAAATTCTGCAAAAACTTGCATTTTAAAAGATGGAAAAAATTGCAAACAACGAAATGCATCACTGAAAAAAAAAAGTCTTATTAATAGTTTGTTTATCACCATGAATTGAGTTTATCACCATAAGTGCCATAAATAGCTGTTCCATTACGCTCAGTAATCAACTTTAAAAACCAAAACGTACTAGTTTAGGTTTATTGGCTCTAATTGCAAGATAGAGCTCTTTCAGAGCATTTAACTTTCGACAATGTTCATTCATAAATCTTCAGGTCCCGGTGAACGTCAAACACCACCAAATTCTTTTCAAATTATATCTCTTTCCAATTTTCACGTTTCGATAGCTCTAGAATTTTTAGAACTTCGGATTGTAAAATTCGATATGGCAAAAATGCGTATAAAATGGATATCTAAAGTAATGAACCTAACAACTTTGTAGATTTAATCTCCACAATCAATTTTGTAGAAGTTCACACTCATTCTATTTGTATTAACTCTTCCATTATTAGTCAGTTTACCTTCAAGAAAAAGAAGGTTATAGTGAATGTGAAAAATTGAAAACACTTGCGTATTGTTTATTTACATAAGAACGAACACCAGAAAAACAACTGGATTTGAATTAATGTAACGTGTGTGGTGAATGCCTTCAATAAATACTTTAGATAAAGAGAGCAATTCTCATAAATTATCTTTTTGAGTCTTTAACTTTGCTGATGCATGTAAACGTTTCAGCTTCGACTTTGAAAATTATTTGGAACTTCTTTAAAAAAGAGTTTGTCAATTCATTTTGCTTTTACATTTTATTTTGCAATCCAACAAAATGTCATCAGATGATTTGTGGATTCAGCAAATACTTAACAATATCTGATTGTCATATTAATTTTTCATTGGCAATAATGAGTATTTATAAAATGAATCCATAAATGCAGTTGTTTTTCACCAGCAAAAATCAAAGAATGAAGAGTAGATAGAAATTTAGTAGTGGTTTTTTCAATTTTAAACTCTAAAATTACAAAAAAAAATACACTTTTGATTAGTAAATGTATAGATGTGATTTGCAATTGAAAAAAAGGAAAGGTTGTCGTTGGGGCAGTAATCTTCAGTTGGCTTTTACTTGTATATTCTGAAATTGGTAGCAGCAAATGAAAGTTAACGATAAGAATCTGTTTAAAATCGCAAAAATGTGCTCATGAAAAAAAAGATATATTCAAAATGGCGTGAAATAATCGATGGAAAATTATTCAGAACCCAACACAAATGTTTATAGGGAAGTTGTTTGCTTTCACTCTTTCATTTAAACCTTTTTTTAATTTAATTTTTCAGAGATTCTTATAATTTTTGCTTTGAAAATGAGCCATTTTTAATATGAATCAAATGAAATTTATTTCTTTTAAGTATTTTAACTTTCGTAAAATACTTGGAATTCATTCATTTTGTTTACATTCTAACAAAATTGTGAGCATGCCAAAAATTTAGAAATATCATTTTTCGAGAATTCAATCAATTTCAATGCCTTTCGAAGGAACTGATCAATTAAGTGTTGAAATGTAAAAATTTCCGATTATTTTCTAATTGTCAATTTTCGTAAAATAAATCTAAGTTGGATTTAATGTTTCACAAAAAACTGATTAAAAGCAAAAGTGAAAAAAAACAAGAACGACGTTACAATCAAATTGAAAGATGAATATGTCAAAAGGTTAGTAGAAGAATGATTTGATTTGCGCTTTTCGTATAAATTTATACTTAATTTTATTTACTGACATTTTTGCTTCACAAAAACAAATGCAATTAATGACGAAAATTCCTGTTTTTGCTATTCCAAAAAAATTGTTTCAAATGAAAGCATAAAAAGCTGTGGAAGAGAATAAAATTATAACAAAATGATTAATACTTTTGTATAAGAAATCCTCAACATTATCTTCATTTTTTACGCATCTTATTCATTTAGACCAATTTCAAATTCAAGTCCATCTTTTCATCAAAATAGCATCAACTTACAATCTTTTTTTTCTGAAGTATGAGATTTAGCTGTTGGCAACATTTTTCAATTACAATTACGATTTCTGTTAGCATTTTTAATATCATTATTAAGCAGCATAAACATCTTGCACTTAATTATTCTTATTACTTGTTAAACAAAGTATGTAAAATATTATTGTTCCCTACTTTTTTAAACAATGAATAATCAGTAAATTGATTATCTACTGTTCAGAAAAGTAGGAGAATTTTAAAACTTATCTAAATGATACTTTTAGGATAGAAAACTTTATGATATATTTTTTTTTAAATAATTTTTTTCTAAAGTCTGCTCTCATAAACTGTTATAATTACGATTTTCTTTTAATATGATAAAAAAATACAAAAACACCTGTACAGAAACGCTTACATCTGCTCGCACATATTATGTGCATTCATGCAAATGCGCATATATATAAACATAACAAACACGCAGACACACGTACGAGTATTTTGATTTGCATAGAGTAAACTAATCATTCGTGCTATACGTGTAAGAAATGCACTAAAAGTGTGGGTGGTAACCTGGTAGTGTCACCTTGCACTTCAATGAGTAGCAAAGTAGAAAAGTTTTGAATACATAATTGAGGAAAGAAACAGTTATTTCAACAAGTTTGCCATCTTTCTTTTTCCGCAATTCACAGATATTTTTTAATTGTTGCAATGACTTTTCTTTCTATTAATTCACATTAATAGAACAAATGCCTGCAGTTGTAATGCTTGCAATCTTCTGTGAGCACTGAATGTTAATTTTGAAAAATTCATTTAAAGTTTTAATTGATCTAATAAAGAATTAATCACTTTTTTGCACAATTTACTGATGCGCAGCACTATAATAAAGGTATTAAATGAAATACACATAATTTTGAAAACATGTAGTCAAAAACTGAAAAATATTCGCATGATATTCTTTCAAAAATATTGAATTCATATATACATATTATATATACAATATGTATATATATAATATTTATTTATTTATTTATTTATTTGTGAAATAAATAAACAAATAAATTGATGATTGATGATAACATCTTAGAAAATTTGCAAATAAACCAAAAAAACCGTAACTTGCGCTCATATAGCCACCTCACTGAAAGGACAAGGCATGACAATTCTAAATTCAACCCTTGAAGATAGGATGCGGGAAAAATACACTGGTAGTAGCAACGTCTCAATCTTGCATTGATATTTCGGCCTCTTAGAATCACACGGCTCTCATTGCTAGAAGTCGGAACATTTACTGATGTTATCATTTTTGACCATTACTAGATGAGTTCTTCTTGCTTGCCTGATCGCGTTAAGCGCCGCTATGTTTCTGGATAACATAAATATGAATTGTGCATCGAATTTGATAAAATAATTGACATAATATAGCACATTTTTAGGCGGGCATGTTCTTTGATTATTTAATTACTGATGATTTTTTAATAACTCTCGATCTTTTTCTATGTTGCAAAATATAATTGCTCATAATAAATAATGTGTTTTGCAAAAACAAAGTTATCAGAAAATACTCTCAGCACATTGAAATAAATATCAACAGTGGTTAATAACTGTGACGATCTGGGCGAAATCATTGTTGAATTTTTCACAACATCATCTTTTGCTTTAATTGTGCTTAGACTTATTACTACAATTTGCAGAAGATTTTAAAATTTCTTAACTAACGAACGTAAAGATTCGATGACAACAGACGATGAAACACGATCAAATTATTTCGGTAAGAAAACTATCATTATCATTTTCAATATGATTGAGTCTGCGAAACTAATAATTCTAGTTACTAACAAAGCTACTTCATTGTTTATTGTGAATGCTAATATAATGATCACCATTAAGAGTAGCATATATTTAAATAGATTTATACATATAAATAGATTTAAAAAGTTTTTAAGAATGGTTTTTATCCAATAAGTAGCATATTGTGGCACGAAGAAAAATTTCGCTGTTAAAAGTTAATACCATAAATAGAAGGGGAAGAACACATTGAAGCATTTGTATTGCTTACTGTTTTATTTTGATAAATAATGATTTTTATGCATATTTATTTCTACTTACATTTCGGTTTCTTCATGGAAATACTTACAAGCACATCTTACGATATTTATGTGATTCCTCTTTCCTCTTACCAGCCATAACATTTCAGATTTGAATAAGGAAGGAATGAATCAAGAGTGATATAAAATTAGAGCGGCATTCAAAAAATAATCTTTCTTGATGGTTTTAGATCATACTGCAAATAAAAACAAATATATGATCAGACGATGACTTAATCAAATAATTCATCAGAGTGAAGGAAAAAAAGAAATTTTTGCAAAATCAAATGAAATATTTGGAATCAGAGCAATAAATTGGGCAAATTAGTGTCATTTAGTGTTTTGCCATGCGTTAAAAAGTTATAAAAATAACCCGGAAGTGACACAAAGTTTTATGACAACAGACAAAAAAAACTATACAATCAAAATGCAGTTCATGCAGTTTATATTCATCGCAGCATTTGGAAGTAAAAAAACTCACTTAATAGTCATTTCCTTATTTTCACTTTCATGAAATGATAAAATGAATTCATTTGAATTTTTTTTGTCATACACTTTATTTACTATAAAGTACTTCACAATCACATTTGTACTGAATTAATTATTTCAGGTTCAATCAATTTTTGCTGTTTATTTCGATTGCGATTTAGATGAATATTAAGATTTAATGATTGTTCTATTTTTAATAGTTATCAAAAAGTTATTTTGGGATGCGACAAAGCAGTAAAACAAGTAGTATTTATTGTTCGAAATTGTTTCTTTGTTGTGAATTTCTTTAAATTCTGAAAAAAAATGATGCATTGATTTTTTCCAATTCTGCTATCAATCAAGGCAAAAAAAATGAGGATTTTAACTGAGAAAATTTGTCCAATTATTGACAAAACAAATAGTTGAATGCAATTTTATATCAAATGAAATGTTTGTTATTGTAACATCTTTTCACGCTTTCCTTTGTCTTCAATTTAGAACATCTTAATAATAATAAATGATTTTTCAACCAAAAAGTAATAACTGCAATCGCTCAAACATCTGTGGTGCTTGCGTGAACTCACAATTCAGAAAAAGTAATTTGCATAAAATATTTTGGTAATGAAGTAACGAAGCGAGAGGTAATACTGCTTGAAGTCTAAGTAACTTAACTTGCTATGAACTGCTTACATTGTGCGATAAAATTTAAAGTTTTATGTATTGTTTAGCTGTAAATTCCTGTAAATTATTATTGATTGTTTTGTTTTCAAGAAAAGCAATTGAAAATGAATTGCCAAAAGGAAGTGAATAGATCAATCATTTTTAGCAATGAAATTTATCGTATCCACTCTTTAAGTTAAGACCTCTCAGTTTCGGCTATCATTTTTATCTAAAAAAATTAATGTGAAATCATGCTGAAAATTTAGTTCCATTTCATTTCATACTGATGGCAAAGTTCAAAGAAAAAAATACTGCCTTTTCAAAATGAGCTAAAAACATGAAAATATGGACTTATGCTTATTGATTTGTCATAACAAGTTAAAATGCAAATTTTTTCGAAAAATCTATTTTATTTAAACAAGATTTTTGTTATACGAATCCAATATAAAAAACTAATATCTAAGTATGTGGGAAAAAATAACTCAGCAACAATATTTTAAGTATTTTATTGACTTTATTGAATGAAACAGCAAACACTTGCTAAAAGCAAAATAAGCATGCAAATCAATATCAATCAGCATCTATATTTTGTAATAAATTCCAGATGTATTTCTGAAATACATTTTGCGATATCTTGTACAATATTACTTCAACTAGCTCGTATTTACAATCGTGAGTGAAAGTTCGTGATATGTTTCAGCTTTTTTTTCTCGCCATCATTTGACAAAATTCTGTAACGTATTTAATATAAAATTATGAATAATTTCTAAATAAAGTCACATTGTTGCATATTTTATAAATGGAATTTTTAAAAGACTGATAGTGACATTAAAGATATTCTTGTACAGATTTTAAATATTGAAGCTTTTTAGTGGGTATTTCTACAAATTTTAAATTTAAAAAAGACCAAGTGAAATATTACCTTCCAAATTAATTTTCCCATCTCTATTAACATCTACTTGGTTATAAATAGCTTTAATATCACTATCCGATAAATTATGTCCCATTCGTTGAAAAGCCGTACGCAACTCAGATCGCGTTATGAAGCCATCACCATTTACGTCTAACTCATCGAAAACGGCTTTCAACGATAATGACTGCGGATTTGCAACGGCTATCGACAAAAATTCTGCAGAAAAATGACTCAATAGTTGCTGTTCATATTTTCCCACTATAAGTAGCCTGTTATTAGAACTAAAATAGCATGAAAATTGTCAATTTGTTGACAAAATACAAAAAATAGCAAAATGCAGATCAAATGTCACATATTTAAAAAAAGCAACAGAACTTTGGCGCTATTTATTTAAAAACTGAATCACATACAGTAGCTATATTTGCATGAAAAATTATTTTAAATTCATCTTAAAAATTAATTCACGAAGTTGCTAAATCAACAGAAAATATGAAAGTATCAATTAATCATTTAATTTGGAACTCAAAATGATCAAAAGATCTACAAAGTTATATAGTATCTTTCAAAAGCTGATCATCATTGTAAATATATTTGACAAGTTATTTTTTTCTTGCAATGGCAAAAATATATCACCTGCAATTTATGAAGAAGAATTAAATTTCTGCGACAGAACATTCAGTGTAATCAAATTATTACTTTTACTGACTTTTGTTCTCCAAACTAATTATCTGACTGAAAGCTTATAAAATCAAATAATAATACCATTAAAATCAATATTTCCATCTTTATCAGTATCAGCAGCATTGAACATTGCATTTAGTTCCTCTTCTGTTGGACACTGACCCATTCTTATCATTGCTGCATTTAACTCATCTTTTTGAATATAACCATCTCCATTTAGATCAAATTCTTGGAAAATTCCACGCAGGTCTTCTTCTTTTATCTCTCCATTGCATGCATTCTTCAAAAAAGTTCCTCAGAATTCATGCAACTTCTTAAATAATTAATTTCAGTTTATCTTAAAAAGAAATTTTTCGAAAACGAAACATTCATTTCATGCCATTATGAATTAAAAAATTTTAGCTCAAATTAAGAATTAAAAATTTTTAGTTTAAATAAGAATTGAAAAATGATAAATAAACAAGTTTCGATTGCATCTTCGTTTTTTTTTTCAGAATTTGCATGAAATTAATCTTGCCTGATATTTATAGCAGTTTATAACAGTATAAAATCAGCGAATGTGATGTCCAAAGTTTACTTATTTCAAGGTTACAAAAATACCATTTTAAGAGCGATATGGAAGTTTGATTGTTTAATGTTACATATTTTTAATCTAAGTAATTAGATACACAAAATATACAAAACTCAATCAAAAACTTAAGTTAATGTAGCATATCAAAGTATTTTTAATCATATCTGCTATTTTTTTGCTATAAAATCTTTTGAGTTTCAATTTTACGACATTAATATTATTCATGAATTTATTTTTTCATTGCCAGTTTTTCTTTTGATCCCTCAGTAGCAGTAGGAATGCGATTAATTACTTTAAAAACTAAAAAACGAAACACGTTTGCTTAAATTTGCTCAATATTTTATACAAATAGTTATTCATTCATTTTCCGTGCAAAACTGAAGCATAATCAAATATAAGGTTAAATTTGGCAATTAACTTGTACATCGTTCCTATTTTTGTTCTCTTCTTTAAATGGCTTGCACTTGCTCTTTTGAGTCAGCAGATGTCACAACTTAATCACTTAAGTGACCTTGATATCCATGTGATTGAATTAAATGCAAAAATATGAAAGAAACTTCTAAATTTCACATAAGTCTAAACAAAAATAAATGAAAAGTTAAGCATATCACTTGGATCTTAATTTGAATACCTATAACAAAAAAATTTGCAAGCTTCAATAAGTCTAAATTTATTTATGCAATCATTAAACCAATAATTCACAGTTTTAAACATGATTTTTAAGAATCACAATTTACAACATTTTTCTTAATAAATATAATTGCTTTGGAACACATGGCACTCTAATTGGTTTTAAAACTTGTGAAAATTAGCTCAAGCAATTATTTTTCTTCTAATTTAATATCAATACATTTTTGCTCTAGAATTATCAATTTGAATTTGAACGAGACAAAAAATTTGGCCAATATTACTATTTAAATGGATACATTAACGAAAACTATTTAAAATTTTCCAGACAACAATAAAATCCATAATTTGCATTCAACGAAGTTCACAACAAGTCTTATTAACTAATTCGTTTGTTGTTTTTGTGATAATGTGAAATAAGTTGAAATAATACTTCCTTTGATTATTTTAAGAGAAATGTTACATTTCAGTATGAATTTACTGAATGCACTTTATTAACAAAATATTTGTGCAAAGATCTAAAAAAGATTGAATAAAAAATGCCTTGCTGTGTTCATTATTCTATTCAATGATTGATTTATTTTTACAAAATTATCATTCTACTTTAATAATCTAAACTTATGTTAGTTTGATTGTGCAGTTCAAAGTGCACTTGAATAACATCACTTATATCATACTTTTTTGAGAAAAAAACTGCAGCAGACGTCATCATACTAAGTAGAGTATAAATGATATCTTTCAGTAATTGTTCAACTAAATGAAGGAAAAATACTATAAAAGAAAATTTGCTGAGAATGAACATACTTTGTTTCGAATTATTTATCAAGCTATGGGGACTAAAGATTATGATAGGTTACTGGATTTAATGATTTTATATTTCGATTGATAATATCATTATCTTGCAAATTTTTCTTCAGATTATAATTATTTGTGAAAATTAATTTTTTTCAGCAACATTATTAAAAAAAATCCATCGCAACTTTTTGGAATCTACATTAATCATAAAAGTTGCTAAAAACAATTAAAATACAGTGCATTAATGTTATTTTACTTTTTCTGTTTTTGTTTCTTTTCAGTAAATAGTAACAACTGATCTGCATTATATATTATTAAGTAACAGAACATCAAATTTTAATCATAACTTTTTCAAGTATGCCTTTGACATATTTATACAACAAATCAAATACACTTATGTTTTTAGAAATCGTCTATTAGCTTAATTAAAAGACAGAATTTTCAACAATTTATCACTTTCCTGATTTTAACAGATTTTCTTAATTAAATTAGTACTGGATTAAATTTTCTGAGAAAGAATTAAATATATAACAATGATTTACAGAAAGAGAATCACCCAATTGCCTAGATAAGTACGTTCTATTCATAAAATTCTATTCGCTTCAATAATTTTCAGGTTTGAATTGCTACTTTAAAATAATAATTGTCAATTAGGTATTTCAAAAAAGTTTTGTTGTTATTTGCTTTCACTATAAAAACGATGCAATCTGAAAGTTTTGCTGAATAATAATAATAATAATAATAATAATAATAATAATAATAATGGTAATGATAATAGAAGGTTCAACTGGAGAAGAAAAAAGTAGTTCAGTTTTTAGTTTCTTATTTGAATTTTTAAATTGAACTTGTGATGAACTCTGTTAACGCATAAAGGTTTTCTCATCTTCATGAAGCCATAAGCAAAGTAAAATCCGTTGTAGTGAGAGTATAGCAGAAACATTGAAAATATGCTCATTAAATGATAGCAAAGAAGCTATATATAGTAAGCAGTTATGAATAATTGCATTTCTCATACATAAAAATCATTTCTCATTAGCAAATTGCATTGTGCGGAGTATTCATCAAAATGAATAAATTCTATCATTTGAAGATTTTTATGAGAAGAAAATGAAACTAGCACAGAAAAATAAAAAAGAAAATCTCTTCAGTCGCACTTCTTTTCACTTTTTTAATCCAGCAGTGATATAATTCCAGTAATCAGTTGTGTTAAATTAATAATAAAGTAGGACTGGAGTGGAGTTATCAGATAAATTTTAAAAAAGTATTCGAACAAAAAAATAAATGTGCAAAAAACAATTAATATCACTGGAAGAATTTTTGATGGAACAAATAGAAGTATGCTCTTGTTAGAAAATTTAATTAAGAGATGAACTGAAAGTTGACATATTAATTATTAATAAAGCTAAGAAATGATAGATCATAGAATGATAAGGTAGTTACCAACTTGTTGAGTAGTTTTTGACGCAGAGTTTGAAGAACAACATGTGCCCATACGTTTTGAGAGTAAGCGATTCGATGATTGGCGATACCACGAGAAGGACGGGGATGGATCGTCTCAGTGGTTATCAAATCGAGGAAGGAGGAATCACGCAGAATTGAGTGAGTAGAAGGTGAAGGAGGAGGGCAAGTAGAACCAGTTCTGTCAATTTTTTTTCACATCGCAGACAACGTATTTAATCATTCCCTTGCATGATCATCAACCACTGCAGAACCCACCTTATGCGCTTAATTTACTTCGTTTCGTCTCAGTAAAGTAAAATATTACTATCCATTTTGATCAATAAGAAAAATGTATCTAACAAAAGTAATATGCATTTAATTGCTAAAAATGCATGCAAAATTAATACCATCATTTATTTTCATTCATTGAATTTGGTGTAATTAATATTTTATTTGCAATTCAAGATTACATTACTTACTGAAAAAACATTTCATTCTCATCATTTATTAGTTACTTAATTTACTTGACACTAGCTGGGTTTTCTTCACTTGAAAAATTTGCACAATCTACTTAATAACTTCTCAAAATTTTCATTTCTGCAATTTGTTATTCATGAAATGAATGCTGTAAAGAAAAGATATTTGATTTAAATCATTTTATCAATTTGTGCATTCCTATATTTTTGAACTTATATTAGAAAGCTCACAAGTTTAAAGAATAAATTTGTGCCAGAACAAATTATTTTTAATGTGATTGAATAATAAATGCTGTTGTATTCATAAACTTAATCGAATAAATTTAAAAAATCAAAAAAGGCATGACGGAATTTCAAAATTTTCACATTTTTTTATTATGAGGTGCCTGAAAGCAAATGCACAGTTTGTTTCTGTAGTAAAAATGATAATAAAATATTTTTTCGGGATAAAACAAATGTGATATTTGCTATTTGTTCTTACTTGTTCATTGCAGAAGAAAAATAATGCTAAGTCCACTTTGATTCTGCTCTAATATTAGCTAAAAATATTATTTGAAATATTTAATACTGAAAGCCTTGTTGATAGTGACTAAATTTCGATCAAATTATGATAAGACTTAAAGCAGAACTCAACCATCGCACTACTACACTGAATAATTCTGATTTATTCAACAAGAAATCTCGTACATCAAATTAACAGAAAATCTTAAAATGATCCAATTTTTACATTCACATTCTATCATAAAACGCAAAATAATTGAAAGTATACAATAATATTAAATTTCAGACTTAACAGAATTAACGTCAGGATTAGACGAAAACACTACTTATAAATTAAATCTGTGATATATCATGATGTCAAATTTATGGATAGAAGGTATCTATCTAAAAAAATTTCAGCGCACCTGTGTTAAAATTCTGACATCCAATAAAATCATAAATAGCATTACTGCAATTTTCAGTTCTTCTATTTCTAATATCCATGCCATTATTTTTTTGATTCTACTAAATTCATGAAATGAAGCCTGAAATTTTTTTTCTTCAGACTGATTTTAAAAGCAATAATCTTAAGTTAACATTTAAGAACTGATGTTGGCAATTTTACTAGTTACGGTACGTAATATAGAGAAATGATAATTATATCGGGAGTTGTAAGTGCACATGCGAAATCAATTTCACTTTCCTAGCAGAAATGAGCTTTTGTTTCAAATTGTAATTTAGCAAATGAAGAAATACTGCGCAAGTAAAAAAATACATTTATTTTAAATTACTTTAAAAAATTACATTAAGAATGGTTGATACCCGTACCATAACTCGGAGAAACATTAATCATTTTATCAGTTACTTTTTAACTCTGTTAAATCTTTTACAACTATTTTACATTTAGTTTAGAGTTCATAAAGTGCGTCTTAAAGTCACTGTAGAATCATTCCGTTATAATTGATATTCATTGCAGTCATTCTTTTGTTCTTTTATCTTGTTATCAACAATTTAAGATATATGGATGGTAAGGTCAAGAATTATTTAAACCTTTATATAACTGTGTGATGTTTTAAATATGCAATGTAAAATAACACGTTCCTAAATTCTTTTTATTTTGTTGTAATATTGCTTTAAAATACATTTGTGATGAATGAAAATACATTCGTTCTTTTGAGTGCTTTCCGCGCAGTAAGCACTATTATTTAATTAAAAAATATGCTGAACTATCAATAATTTCAGAACTTTGAAATTTGTTTATTAGTTTTATGCATCTGTGTTATACAAACGATCCAATTTTTCGCCAAGTATTTTATATCAGAGTTGCTTTTTAATGCATGCTGTGGTGATTTTTTTTTACATAATTGAGTTTCTTCATAATATAGTTTAAAATTTTTTTCTTGGTAAAATTAGCATTTGAAAGATTTGCGAAATATCGTAGTAAAGTTTTATTACAAGTTGAATCTTATTGCTTGTTTGACAACAAATAAATATGGCCAGTAATTATTTATACTTTAAAATATATAACTTAAAGAGGGGAACTAACTGCAATGATCAGATGCTAAATATTACATCGAAAATTAGCAAATTCTATCTCTGATCACTTTCCCAAGCCAATAAAATAATGGCTGTCATCCATTCTCTTTTTCAAAATGCTCCTCATCTCATCACCAATATACGCATCTCTCGTAAACTGAAACAAGTGCAAAAGATTTAACACAAAATATATAGTAATACAAGATATTATTGTTCAACCATAAATTATTGACACTTCAAATATGCTGTCTTATCACACACTAATGATGACATGCTTTTAAGACTGATTTACGAGAGAACAAATCACAAAATAAAATAATTGAAATATGATGATTTTTAAATTAATTAACTCAATGCACGCCATTAACTTAAATTAAATTTCAATTGTATTAACTACAAAATAGTTATAGTAGAAGCAAAATTTCATTTAATTTGTTAATAATTTACAATTTTTTTGAAAAATTACTTAGCATTTGAAAAAAGCAAGATTATCAAATTCTGCAATTTTTCTCGAGATCTGTTTATTTAAAAATTTATATATTTTGTTCATAATGGTGGTAGCTTGGCGATTATTTTTCAATCTCTGACAAAACTGATTACATTAATTTGGAAGCAAAGAAAAAAAATATTATCCTACCAATCCATTTATGCTGGAAATTGCTTTTCCTTGCTGAGGAATTCTTCTACGCAATTCTTTTTCCTTTATAATGCCTTCATATTCTTCTGGCTCTTCATAGTATTGCAATTTCATCTTAACTTTATTTAGGAAAACATTTCACTTGCTAATAATGACAATTTTTATGAATAAAATTATTGTATTTATATACACTGAATTTAAAAACATTTTTATCCATGGAACTAGTGAAACTTAATGTACGAGTTTAATAATTATTCACGAAATTTTATCATTAATATTTAAAAATTATTTCAAAATATTTAAATTATTTTTTTGGATAATAACAGCAAAGTAAAAATTTTTGTCTTTTCATCCACATTAGCTATCCAAATCTTTTCACTAAATACAAGTCAAAAATATATGTTAATTTTAAAAATTGTTAATTAATTCAAGGTTATTTAGCACCATATTTAAATAAAAAATATGCAGCAAAATATACAGTAATATATACAAAAAATTGAAAGTAATTACCGGAATGTTGAAATTACTCATTCTTTTACCGAAATTCATCCGATACGCATTCACGTCCATGCGTTTTTCTCTCTCCTAAATTACAGGAAAATAAAGCATTGACAATAATATAGTAGTATTAACAGTACAATAGCAGTTTTAACAGTACTATTGTCATTATTATTAATGCTAGGTAAAAGTCACCTTTCTAAATAATCTCAGTAGAATAGTATATTATTTTGCTGAATGCACAATCACTTTTAGTAAATTTTAAAAAAATACTTGTATTTCTTATATAGCATTTCATAACTTTAGGGAAATATTTACTGCTAACAATTGTCAGTTGCAGTATTGCCTTTTTTTTGTTAAATAAAGTTTGGAGTAAATAATTAACAAAGTTTATCGTTTCGCCTCTGAACTTACAGTAATTAATAAATACTGAAACTATATATGATGATAAGAACCTTTCATCTAAATCTACGAATAAAAGTACTAATTTGGAAAGTAACAAAAAATTTTATGCAAACCTGTAGTTCAGTACACCAAACTATTGCACAGCTGTTGATGAACATAATGAAAAAAATAACATTTGTTGTAGTTGTCCAAAGCATAACTGACATTAACGATGAAAATTATTAAGCAAAAATCTGAGAAAAATTTTATCAAATATAAAATAACCATTATTTTTACACATGAAACAATAATAATTTCTTTGAATTTAAAAAGTGACATAGCAACAATTAATTATAATAAGTAATGATGACAAGAAAAATGAAATGAGATTTTTATTTTTAAAAAAATTAAAAAATTGAAATATAATATTCATGAGATTCATAACAAGACAAAAATATTGTTATGTTAAAACGATAAGTTTGTCTCATTAATTGCGTATGTTGCTGATAATTATTCCAAGCTTTTCCATACCACAAATTAAAAAAATATGAAGTATGAAAAGTGACAAAAAGTGCTTATTTAGAGAAAAATAACAGGCTTAGTTAAAAATGAAAATTCTCAGCGAAATATTGTATTGAAAGAAAATAATAATTTTTTCATATTGTGCCTGATGATAAAAAGTTTGCTGATGATCTCGATAATGCCATTTAAATACTTCTCAAGCATTATTAGAAAAAAGAATTTTATTATGCAAAATTAAAAGCATTGTGAAACAGTTCAGAGAAGGTTGAAATAAGTGAATAAATAAACTCTTTACTAAATTACCAATGTTGGATTACTTTTTTAGCATGACAAATAGAATAAGTAAAAATTTGGGTTATTCCGAATGTTAATGAAGCTAATTACTCGTGCTATCTCTTCATTTTTTTAAGGTTAATGCTTTTAACTGTCTAATAGGAGAAATAAACGTTTAAGAAAAAGTTCTCTATCGTTTTTTAGTTCCATACTGATCCAAGATCAATTTTTTAACTTACTGTCGATAAAGTAAACAATCGAAATCGCTCAAATGATATGTAGTGATAAAGAACAATTTCTTTATCATTTATTTTATACAATAATTTTTAAGGAATTTTATTTCTACAAATTTGTTAAAAGCAATTCACAATTAATGAAAAAAAAATTTTCTGGTTGGTAAAATAACAGTGATTATATTGTACATTTTAATTTTTAGCGCGCGATGAATATTCTCGATTGATTACACTGTTTATAAATGTTCAAAAATAAAATTCAAAAATTAGAAAATGGTAATAAATCTATATATTAAAGGTGCAAAAAGAATCACTTTTCAACGAATAATCGTTTCAAAATTTTTTTAATAAATAAAAAGAATACAGCGTAAAACTGGCCATGTATTGATGAGAAAATTTGTAGAGGCGAAACAAAAATAAATGGAAATAGTGTGGTTTAGTTTTATTTGACTGCTTTTCAAGCTTTAAAAGATTACACAAAAAACTTTAACGGAAATGAAATGAAATTAATAAAATTGAGTTAGAAGATGGGCTTCCAATCAGAAAAGATTTTTTGATGTATCCCACGTGGAATAATTACTTATGAGAATGAAAATCTCAATCAAAGGACTAAATTTAAACTTAAGTGTCAAGCTTTCTAGCAATCAACAAAATTAAATTCTACTGTTAGAATAGCCTGATCAGAACAAAATTAAGTAAAATACCATTACCTTTCCCCTCAATCAACAAATATCTTGCTTTTTTGCACTTGCATTCTTTCTAGACGAAAACACTTTAAAATTAATGATTAACTCCATTTCGAATATTCAAATTTTTACTGCTTCTTATTTTCTTTCTATCAATTTTTATAACTATAATAATATTTTTATGCACTGTGACCAAACAACGTCTTGAAAAGACTGAACTGTGCACACTTTTCGACATATGTATTTGTTTCAAATTATTTAAATGAATTTTAGTAACGAATTTTAAGATTTGCTCAAAAAACAATTTCATCTTTTTCATTACTCTGTGGTTTTATCACGCAAACGTTCCATAATTTTTTTTGTTTTTTGCGAACTATATATTCCCTTTGGCGAGTCTCAGTAGACATTATTGCACTCCAATCAATTTATGATATTTGATTTTGATCATAAAATTTAGTCTGAATATTATTTTTATTACATAAACCTTCCAATTCAAATGTATTTTTCACTTTTAGTATGAAATTGTTCAAATGTTTTTTGAAAATGTTTCAAATTGAAGATCAAACGAAAAAATTTCACAAGCAGTAATAAAGATTAATTTTTCATTAAAGTTAGTACAATCTACAAAAATTCATGACATGACTTCTAACTAAGTTTCAAATTTTTGTGAAATTGTGCGGTATACTTTTTGTTCAGCTTCATACTGTGTTTGAAGAATTTCAAAACTCAGTGGGTGAATGCGACTGTTCTCAACAATCACTGCTAATGCGTAAGCATCTCAGTAAATTTCGCTTCCAAGGCTAACCATATTTTCATATCACTCTTTAATCAGATAAAGTCCATTTGTGTAGATAACATTTTGGTAAAGTTAATGTTTTCCAGAAATTTTTCTATGTTTTCATGATATGTGATTCAGTGAATGACATGCATTATAAATGTTGAAATTAATTTATCTCTAGTTCCCAGTTAGGCATAATAATATTTCTTATTTGAAGGCATGACTTTCGTAGCAAGACATATGAATCCAATGAAGCACAAAATTATATTGAAGCGAAATAAATTAACATTTTTGAAATATAAATAAGAGCAATATTAAATAAAATAGCTTTAATTCTCTTTTCTACAGTATTTTTTCAAATTTGAGTAATTCAGTGAAATATGGCTACTAGTTGTGTGCAGAGCGCATTTACCAATAGATAATAATTTCTAAGCCTAAACAGTTTTGCATTATTTCACCAATCCACTATCCAATTAATTGCGCTTGAAGTCCCAACTAAAACGGCTAGATGTAATCTTGCTGGGTAAACGTGTAATCGAATATGCCTAAAATTAGCAACAAATAACTGGTGTCTATGAATAGTAACTTTAAATTACCATTTTTAATAAGATGTATTATCATATTATCATTGTTTTTTCATGATTTTAATAAAACTTGTGCAAAATAATTTGATGATTTTCACTGACTAATTCCTTACAGTATCTTTTCATAATTTTGTTAAAGTTAATAGAGCTATTTAAACTTTTTTATTACTAAAATATGATAAATATTATGAAAACAATGTACTATTATTGAATTACTCTTTTTATTAGCAAATTTTTGATATATTGCAGAAAAAAATCTAATTTTTGTTTTGATAGCATAAATTTTTTTAGCATGAGACAGGTGTTTCATAGAATGAAAATATAAAATTACTCAATACTTTTGTCTACAAGAATTAAAAATTTTGATGAATGAAAGCTAACATCGACAATACAACTAGTAAAGTAACTATTATCCATAAACTACTTATTAATATATATCTAGTATGAAAAAACTAAATTTCTAAACGTTAAATTCAAGCTAACAAAAAGCTGAAGATTATTTATAACTGTATCATCATTATTGTGCCTATCCACTAAAAATGATGATTAGAAATCTTGGCAATAAATAAAGAGCAACACACTCGGTATCCTGCAGCTGGTGCATAAATTTGAGGTAAATAGGAACGGAACGTGCTACATCTGGTATAATTACTTGGGAAGTCATATTCAAACCGTCGATCCATATCACGTATGTAACTATCGACTCGTGATAGTCGTCCACTGTTGTAAAACATCTCAATGCTAGAACGTGAACTGCAACCATTCACTCATTATTTTATTAAACAAATTTATGTTGAATTTTGGCATTTTAAATTCAGACTGGACAAAAAGTGACAAACTCTCCTGAATATTATTACAACAAAAATAAACCTAGTTCGGCTTAACCCGTCATAAGCCAGTAGCCTGCTTGAACTTCTTGCAAGTTCATGTTGCTTCTGTCCACTATATTCCATAAAAGAAAGAAATGAGCCGGAACGTGATGGAGCATAACGTATGGTCGATATTGGTGGTGTTGAAAAATCACGATTGCGATATGTTACTGGCATGTAGTTAAGAGTACGGCTAAAGTTTATCCGTCATAATTTGAATATAATGTTATATCATAAAATATTCTGCAAAAATATTATTCTGTAAAGCCATCTATTTTTCAAAAATACACAAGCGAAACAAACAAATGTAAGAATAATGGCTTCATATCTAATGTATGATTTTAGCAACATTCGAAATCATGTACTGCTTTGCAATGTTAAGGCAAATAAATTTTAAAAAATATTCAGTTTTCAAAAACTTTAAAGTGATACTTACCGATTGTAGTAGCTATCTGAGCGACTTAAGCGAGTCGCAACTTGCTGTTCTCGAGACCGACTACGAGAGCGTTCAATCAAACGACTTGTCGAATATAAATTTCTTGAAAATGGACCTAAAATATGGTTTAATATGATTTATTTTGTTTATGAACCCAGACATTCTAATCTTTACTTGGCAAAAATTTCCAAACTTTTTTAGAAAATATTCATTTATGATCATCACTAAAAAAAGCAATCAACAGTCGCTTGCTTCTGAAATACAGATTTCTGAAAGAGTGCAGCAGAAAATAGAATTTGCTCTAAAATGATTGTCGATAGATGATCTATAAGCTTATTTTGACCGTATTTGTGCAAATGTTTCTCAATGTATACTCTTGTTGTTAAATTTATTAATTAAGTTCATTAACCAGTCTTAACACGCAAATTATATTCATTGTTCTAATAAGCAGAAGAATAGCGTGAATTTTTTGTTGCACACAAGTCAATAAGAATTATTAATGCTTTCCTGTCGTTTAAAAAAAATCTTTGATATACAAACAGACCTGCACTGACAATATCATCAAACATGGATGTATAAGTTGAGCGGGCAGCGTGTTCAGGATAAGTTTTATATAATGCATCTTTCATCCAAAGACTAACTGAAGAATACTTTGGTTTTTCAATTGGCATATATGAAGAAAACGATGAGTAATTCGGCAAGCGTAAACTCGCAGCATGTTGTCTGTAAGATTCCTAAAAACAAATTTTAATATAAATAGTTTTTTTTACTACACTCTGTGATTTATTCGCTATCAATAATTCTGAAGTACCAAATTATTTGTCGCAAAATTTATACAAAATTTGAATGATAGAGCATATTAAATTTACTTCACTGATTGTTTCAATTTATTTGTGAAAAATTAAAAATGCTTTTTATGCTAAGAGAAAACCCTTAATAGAGTTTTGTTATTCATTTTTAGCATATTTGAAATTGAAAATACCAAAATATTCGTTGTAACTTGTTAAATTACTTAAAGTCATAATTTGCGCTAAATTATTAAAATTGATTAAATTTAGATAAAATTAATAACACACTCGGTCATGACTTATAAGTACTAACATTAGGAGCTATTATTTTCGCCCTTCGTCTTACTGGTGAAGGTGAGCGTTCTGGACGTTTTCGTATTGGCGATGATAAGTTTTGATGTGAACTTACTGGACTGTATTTCATACCCAGCTGCAATTTAATGTTTATAACATAGAAAATTTTATTTTTTCAAAAAGGTAGTACAGTTAAATAGTTGTAATATGTTTGTTTATTAACTTTTGTGCCATTTTGAGTTATCAGTATAATTTGAAAAAATCTCAAAATTTCACTCCCAAATTTCACTTTCTTCACTGAAAAATGTCATACCTTTGTTTCATCAACATAATTTTCCTTGTTTTCAACTGTTTGCTCCATCTTGGGCTCAGTCATTTTAATATCAACTTTTTTTGATGAAATCTGAAATTACAATATAAAATATATATATATATATATATATATATATA